TGATAATGCTCAGAAGGTGAGTTGGGTGGTTTTTTGGATTTTTGGAAAATTTTTCGGAATTTTTGGAATTTTTTAATTTTTTAATGATTTTTTCAATTGAAATTGCAATTTACGGGCACTTATTTACTTTAGGGGACACGCACGCGCGCGCACGCTCGCGTATAACAAATGAGGCCATGCGCGGTGGGCGTGGCCTGGGTCTGTGAGAAAGCGCGTGCGTGTGTGTGTTGGTGTACGCGAGCGTGTCCCCTAAAGTAAACAAGTGCTTTTTTAAAATAATAATAAATGATAGAAATAATAATAAATAATAATAAATAATAATAATAAATAATAATAAATATAAATTCAGGTCGACAAGCGATGTCTTAAGGAGTAACACGGGTACATGCCTTCTAGCGATGGCCACTGCGGATATAATCTCGTTGACAGCCATTTTTTTGCATTGTGTATTGAGTTTGAACATTTTGGTCATTCAACAGTCCGTGTATAATTTCGTTTGTAAAGTTAGTTTTTGGGATTTTTTATTATGTTTTTATTGTTTTTATTATTTTTATTATATTATTAATATTTGTATATATAATAGTAATGTAATATTTGTATAATATGCCCTATTGGTAATACGGTGTTGATGCGCGGCGTGTGCGTGCGGCAGTGGGCGGTGCTTATATGTTATGCGTGGGCGAACTTATTAATGATATTAATAATAATAATTAATAATAATGGTAATAATAATAAATGGTAATAATAATAAATAATGAACAGTAATAATAATTATGATAACGCAGCGTGTGCGTGCGGCAGTGGGCGATGCCTATATTACGCGTGGGCGTACTCAGTACTAATTTTAATAATAATAATTTCAATAATAATAATAGTAATAAATAATAGTAATAGTAATAATAATAATAATAATAAATAATGATAATAAATTAAAGTTAACAATCTTCTCGACGCACGTGGCCACCTCGGTTAGTATTTGGTCGTGGCTATTGATGTCGATTCTACGCTACATCTCAATCCACCACNACGCTACATCTCAATCCACCACCCGATGTGGCAGTATCGATCCGGGTACAGACCACAGCGATTACTCGTGCTCGTTGTACTGCTATGCTCTCTATTCAACTTGTGGCTCGTTCCGTGCGTGGTTTATGTCAATCAACAGGTGTCTTTATGTCTTTTTGTGTCATTTTGTCAGCCTTTTATGTCATTTTTGTCATTTTGTGTCATTATGTCAGTCTTTTATGTCATTATTTTTTGGACTAGTTGTTATGACATTTAAGGACATGACCACCGTATCTGTCGCATCTGTGTCCGATTTTGTCCGTTTTGTCTGACAAATCCATAAACCTTCCCTCAAAATCGGGTGTTTTTAGGGGTGTTCGCTTCAAGAGTTAATCACGGACACGTCACTAAACAGAGTGCTACTGCTGGCAGACATCGGCTGGTCGTTTATTTTGCCGATTGCGGTGATCACCTTTTTGGACACGTCCGCATTCTGCATTGTGCCGTTGCTGGTACGTAATCGAATGCGAGACGCTTTTAATGACCGTGACAATCGACATTCGGACACTAAAAAACCTTTAAAAATGAGCAAACACAGTGAGGTGAGTGGGAATTTTAAAAATATTTTTTAAAAACCGAAAATTTAAATTTGATTTTGAATTTAAATTTGAAATCTGAATTCAAATTTTTGGCGAAAGAAATTTGAGTGGGAGAAATTTTTGTACGAATTTTATCATGCGATAGGTGGTGAATTTCGGTAATAAAAGATTTTTTAATGTATTCATTTTATTGCGATTCTATTACGTATAGAAGTGAGGGACGTTATTTTGCCTTTTTTGGAATAATAATTATAGTAATGATAATAGTAATAGTAATAATAATAGTAATAATAATAATAATAGTAATAATAATAATAATAGTAATAATAATAAATATTCAGAAGGCGCGTCGGACTCTGTTACGATGGCTGATAATCGCTCTAATTGATATCGGTTTGAATGCACCCGATAATTTGTTTCGAATTGGAATGATTTTGGACGTAATCACTGAGGATCTAATTACAACGAATACCTACGTGATTTTGAGGACTTTATCCGATGTTAGTCACTTTTTATTTGGTATTATTATTACTGTTATTTATTATTATTTTTGTAATTTTTATAATTTTTTTATAATTTTTTAATAATTTCAGGTCATCTACTACTCGCAGTTCTCATTTAACGCGGTCTATCTGGCGCTATTTATTTACGATCGATGTACGTCACTACCCGATAAGAAACATCATTTGGATCGCAGCTACTTGAACG